GAACCCTGGATGCTAACGACAAAAAAAATCTAGCACAAAAAGAAAAGTGCGCGACTGGCGACTGGAGCCGGGACTAGGACTAGGGTGTGGGTGCCTCCGTCGCGATGCGCTCCCCACTCCCGTTCCCCTGGGTGTCCCTGATCATCCTTCCAAAATCCTGCTCGTGCAGGTGGGGACCCTGTCCTCGTCCCATCCCTCGTTTGGGTTGGTCTGTTTTCTTTCTTAGGGACTAGGTGACATCCCTCCCTTGCGTTGTCTGCTTTCTTTCTTTGTTTGTAAAATTCTTTCTTTCTTTGGTGGCTGAGTTTCGGGCTCCTGGACGGGCGGGGGCGGCGAGGGAATGTTTTTATATCGTGATGAACTGTCCTGAAATGGATCTAGCCCCCGCGGCGAGGGCAGCGTTGCAGCGCGCCGGCTGAGGGAGGGTGTTCTCGCTCGAGGTTCTCGAGGTTGCTATCTATGCTTTGGCCGCGTTGGTGCGAGCATTGGACTGGTTATTCTTGTTGTTGTGTAGCATTTTGGTTTTTGCCATTGGTGTAAGTAACGCGATCCACGCAGGTGGGTGTTTTCTGCTCGGTTTTCTGACGACGGTCGACATCGCGACATGGACAGGGGCCCGGGCTGGGCGGACCAGAACGTCAGATGTGGATGAGATCGGTGTGATCCGCGCAAATCGTCAAATTCCGGGCTCTGAGCCGAGTCAGAGAGAGTTTTGTTGCCGAGTCTGAGGCTGGGGTTGCGGTTGGTCCCAAAATCAGCCAAATCGGCAAAACCCCGAGGATTCCTGGAAATATCCGGATATTTTGCTCGATTTTTGCAAGATTTTGCACCAGACCAGCTCTCTCCTACCGAAGTTGCTCAGGGAAACTCGATCGAGAGTTGCCCAGAATGGAGCACCAAACACCCGCTACAAAAAGTTCTGGGGGCCCTCTGGTTTCCCTCTGTCTGGGTTGCCAGAAACCTGGATACAGCTTACAGGCCAAGGCGCAAGGGGCAGGCACTTGGAGCTCTTGGAGTGCAGTCGGTAACCTCACATCCAGGGCCGGGGAGCTCAGAAGCGCACCCAGCGGGCCGGATGATCGGCATCGGGTTACGGGCTAGAGAGCCCTAGCCCCGGGGGTGCGCGGTCGCAGGGCCATAACACGGGTCTCCGAGGGATAGCTCCGCGCTCCGGGTTTCCCCTAGCAGCCCGACGATGAATTGTTTTTTGAAAGCAGAGCGCGAAGAAGCTCCCGCCAGGCGTTCCACCGGTGGGAAGGTTCTCGCCGCGCGCGGACGATGACGCGCTCGAGGACGCGCGCGGCCGCTGTTCCCAAGTGCGCTCGCCCCTCCTCGAGCACTGCTCCGCGCTCCTGGGCCGCGCCGCCCCCCCTGACCCCCAGCGCGCAGCTGCATCGCGCCCTGCGCCTGTGCGCGAGCCGCCGACGCGAGCCCTGCGCGCGCGGCCCCTCGCGCGGCCCCTCACCCCGCCCAGGAGCTCCCTACTCACCGCCTCTGTGCCTCTCTGCAGGAGCCCGCCGCCGCGCTCCGCCGGGTGCGACCCCGCTTCTCAGCGCCGAGCCGAGAGCGTCTCGCCTCTGACCCACCTCTGCAGCCGCCCGCCGCCGCTCCCCTCGCCCGCGCCGCGCGAGAGCCGCCCGTGCCCCACGCCCGCAACCCTCCTCCGCTCCGCCGCCGCCCACTCACCTCGCTCCCCTCGCCCGCCGTTCAGGTCCTCCAGCCGGCCCGCCAAGGCGGCGCGCTCGGATCCCGACGACAGTCTCGAGGGAGCGCTCGACTTTGACGCCCTCTCGCCCGACCTCGCGCCGCCCAAGAAGGCGAGCAAGTCGCGGCCGCGCAAGCGCCCCGCTCCGGCGGCGCCCGTGCCCAT